TTTCCCTCTCCCCATCGTGTGGTTCATTTCTCGTTGGTTTGTCAAGGTTAGGAATATTGTTTGGTGTCTATTTAGAGAGCTCTTTGTTCTCTAAACCAGCGCTGTTGTCTGGAGGGAACATACTTTGCGAGGGCAAATTAGGCAGTTGCATTGTGACCTGTCCAATTACCAACTATATTTAACCTCCGGGAGGCGCTGAGAGACAGGGTGGGTGACGCGCAGGGCAGACCTTGCAGCAGGAAGGAGAAACAGAAAGGACGAAGGAGGTCAGGTTTCTAGAGGACAGTCGTGAGCTGCCTGAGTGAGAAGTCCTCCCGGGAGGGACAAAGACAAAGTTTAAAATAGTGTATAATTAAGACTGGAGGGGAACCGAGTAAGCAAGCCCGACGAAGACTTGAGAGAGTGTGAATGCACCATGCTACAACTGTGACGTAGGCAGGTGGGCTTAGCTTCAAAGTCTGGAGAGACCGTGTAAATTTCCATAGCTTGAGCTAATGATTTTTATTTCCAGTTTATTTTGAAGTCGGCTGGGAGAAAGGAGTTTTATGTAAACACATGTACTCTTTACATAAGGGATAGCAAAATGGGAAAGAAAAATTCCCCAGGACTATTCAGGAGAGGCTGCAATGACTACACAGCCTGCTTCCAAATGCCTTTTAAAAGCAACGAGAGTAGCAGTTGGGGGAGACTCTTAGAATGTGCAGATTTAGTGAATTCAGTTGAAAGCATAACAGTCCGAAGACCCTGGGCTGTTCATGGGCAAGATAGCTCATGGGATTTGGAGATGAGAAGGGAGAATAAAGCAACTGACTTCACTGTGTTACCATGAGGCAGGACGGTCCAGAGACTGGGAAGGAATGAAGACAGGAGGGGGATCTATTTTACGCAAGCTAAAAACACTTCCTATTTTAATACGTTGTGTTGGGAAATGTCTCTCCTAGCCTGTGTCTCTTCAAAAGGAAACCCAGAGAGAAGCAAGAGCCAGACCCTAGGACTGACCACACCCATTCATCCTTTGGTTCTGAATGGGGCTGTGGAAGCAAAGGATTCAGGGACCCTGTGGACCTAAGGCAAATGAATAGAGGCCGGTTATCTGACCTCTCTTTCATTGAATTATTTTTGCTGATTTATTTTGTCGGTAGGACAGAAAATGTGGGCAGAGTTGTTCAGGAGAATGGTTTTCTTTCCCACCTGATTCAGATGTTCTGCACATCGAATCCCGTGGAAGCGTGTATTATGAGCACGCTTGCTCCAAGATATGCGAAGTAGCTGGGGCGGGCAAGAGGCTTTGTGAATCCCAGTAGACCAAGGACTTTTAATTGGGGGGAAACGAACCAAATGGAAAACCAGCAAACAGATCCAGACAACTATAGGTCGTCTCAACTGCAACAGGGACTTCTTGTTAAAGGAAAAGTAAACACAAAGCTCTGTACCTTAATCCTTCCAGGAATTTCATATTTTCTGGGTTTGCAATTCTTTTATTAAAAAGGATTGCCTTTCAAATACTCGCTTGTGAAATTGCAGCCTTCCAAACAGAAGTTTTCTATCCATTTAGTTCATTTCTGTCATCTAAAAGAAGCACGGTTAAAATGAAAACAATGGTTCTCGGGACCAGCAGTTGGCGTAATGGCTATGTCACTGGACTCCCATGTAGTTGACCACGGTTCATATCCTGGACCCGGTGGCTTAAAACTCACGCTGGGCGTGTGTGCGTGCGTACCCAAGATCTCAAGAGGAGAATGAGGGAGAAGGGATTGTGGCATGGCCATCTCCCCTGGGGGGTGATTTCTCACTTTCTGTCTCTCTGTCTTTCTGGCGAGTGCACGCGCCCTATAGAAAAAACATCTTAAAAAAAAAAAAAAGTGAAAACAGCAGTTCTGCACCAAGACATCAACTGACCTGCTTAGTTCAAGGTGCTTTTCTTATTTAATGGATGGTGAACTCTGGTTGGCATACATTGGAACCCAAACATTTCACAGTTATAGCTCCTACCTCTACTGGTACTTAAAATACTGGCACAAAGGGTCTCGCTGGCTAAGCTCTGACCTCCGCTGTCCACTCCAAAGCATTCCTAAGAAGCCCACCTGCGTCCCACCTGCTCGGATGTTCTGAATTGCTGTGGACATCCTCGCCCTTGCTGGGACTGCCAGTCTGCATGGAAACATCTTATGGCACAATATCCCACCATTCTGAAGAGTTGTTCAAGAATGCCGATACTTAGGAGGAAGATATTAGAGAACGTTTAATCACCAGCTTTCTTTTAAGCTTCACCACACATCACACAGATCCTTCCCCCACTCGAAAAAATGCTTGTTTTAATTCCCAGATGGTTTATACCATTATTTCTCTCTACCTTTATAAAAGAATGGCCTGGCCACCTCTGGGCCTTGCAGAAGTGAACCAGCCAGACCTTATCAGCATCACTTATTGCCCCTCCCTTTGCTCCTTCCCGGCACTTGGGTATTCAACTGTGTACCCTGATCAGATCCACTCGGTCACCCTCGTTCTTGGTAGACGTTCCATAGAACACCACGGAGGGAAGAAGGCAGACGCTAAAGCTATTGGCGCAAATGAAACTTTGGATTACCTGTGGATTTGAGCAGCTCCTCCATTCCTGACCCACTCGACAGCATGAGTAATTTGGTATCTGAAGAGATGAGTAGCCACAAATGACTGATAAAGAAACACACGTCCATTGCCTGACACAGCTCAGGGAGCAGCTCGCTACAGTTCCCGCTGCTGCTGGTGGGCTTTCCTGAGCCCCACAGGCTGACAGGCCGCCCGGCAGCTGCTGCCCCTTCTGCGGGGTTGGGGCACGGGGCAGTGACCGCAGACACCTGGCTATGGCTTGCAGCGGAGCTACGCAGCTGCACACGCGCAGCGCAGAGAAGGAGCAAGAGCTGAAAAGGCTCTGGTTGGGCCCAAGTCACTTCATGAGTAAAAGCAGATGCCTTGTAAGCTCACGGTATTTACAATGCTCAGGTTTTTCAAACATCCACCCCAAGCTGAGAACCACCACGCCACAGGGGACATTCGATGAGTTATGTACAGAATTTACAAGGAAGTTTACATGGTCGTCTACATTCGGTCAACACAATCCACCTTTGTGTTTACAATGCGTCTGTGTGCTTCAGGACACAGAGATTCTTGTCTGTCGTTCTGTCCTGCTCACCCCAGTAACCGCTGACTGAACGGCCAGGAGCAAACGCTGGCTCTTCCTGTTGCCTCCCTCCTGGGAGATAGGGTTAGACTTTCTTTAGGGAAAAAATGGCGGCACGCCTGTCACCCTTGGGTAAGATACTCTTTCACATTGTCCACATGAAAAACCTTGGAGTTCATTTCCCTCTAGAACCATTATACATAGGTCTTTTCTGTTTAACTTGTCAATTTTTAACTGAGGTCTTCCTTAAATGAATTACTTAGAAAAGAGTCATTGATTTCAGAAAGATGGCATTTACTCAACATTTCTATGTAGAAAGGACATCCTTTTAAAGAAAGGCTATCTTTGGACCCTTAAACCAAAGCGTGTTCTCTGCACCACGTTTTTCTCTTTGCATTTTCAAGACCCTTTGTTGGTTGGACACAGTAAAGACAGTACGTCTGAAACGCCTAGCATCTGTCCGCAGAATCACCGACCCATCTGCTGTGTCGGTCTGGCAATGGATGGAGGGAGGCAGTAGGCCTGGGTAGTTCAAGCCCAAACGTGTCTTGGCCTGGGTCTGGGCTTCACAAGCTGGTAAGTGTGATGCTCGTTCCCCCTGATATTTGAAGCCAAGGAACCTGGGTGAAAGGAGCGCGTGTAGCCGTGATTGTCAAGTGAGGGGTGGGTCAGTCCATGGCAGTTCCTGCCACAGCTCACGAGTTGTGAGCGCAGGGCTCCCTGCACAGGGCTGCGGCATAAGTGAGGGAGTCTGTGCAGTTTCCAGCCTCTGCTGCCGCTTCGGAAATGCCGGGGATGACGCTGTCGTCATGACGAAAGGAACACAGCCCAGTGGTAGCTACGTCGTGATGCCATTCGAAATGGGGGCCAGCTAGAGGGCACTTAAGGATGTCTAACAACGTTTGTGTTTTACATACATCAGTCTGGGCAAGACAAGGGAGACAGCCAGACAACGTTTTTATCCCCTTATGCACTGTCCAGCTTGGAAGGGAAGGGTTGGCCAGGAGGGGTGCCGAGGAGAGAGATTTGCCCGGGAGGTATTCAGAAGAGAGGGCAGAGGCCGTTGGTCAGGAATATGGCAGCTTCTCCATTCTGGCTGCCA